ATCAACATCAACACTTGGAGGGGGACGAACGTAGCCGAGTGTTTGGTGCTTGCCAAACCGTGTACCGTGATTGCCTTAATAGGTGCTCGCTAACTGCATTTGCCCTGTAGTCAATGGGCTCGCTGTAGTGGGCAGCAAAGTGGTCGCATAACACACGAAAAATCCCCACATAATAGGCACACATTTTAATCCGTGAGCATCCAGAGCAGCTGCATCTATTGTGGGGGACACTTTTAGGTAGACTCAGCCTCAAAATAATTTACCTGGGTTGGGTTTGGTGCTCATGGCCTCACGGCTCCTTGTAATATGTTGACCACATCGCTGCTGACTAACAACAACCTCCCCCATCAGTCTCATCGAGCTCAGCGTTTGACCATTGTGCAGTGTCCTCAAAATACTGGGCTTGCAGAAGGGTGAAGAACTCCAGTACAGTATTTGCATTTTATTAACAAAACCACAATATCTTCTTTGGTTCTTTCGGTAAAGTCACGTAGAATGAGAATAAAATAATAAATTAATAAAATAAAATAACACAATAAAATTCTCACACGTTCCGGCCACAACACAAGTGGCCTTCACTTGTGTTGTGGCCGAAACGTGTTAGAATTTTATAGCCACTTGTGTTGTGGCCGAAACGTGTGAGAATTTAATTGTGTTATTTTATTAACTTATTATTTTATTCTCATTCTACGTGACTTTACCGAAAGAACCAAAGAAGATGAATCCTTGCAGTCACGTAAGCTTGAAATCGAAAAATAAAACCACAATATTTCCATTTAGCCCATCTACAGAATATTTAGTACATTTACAGATTAAAAGTGTAAAAAGCAAGATGAAAGAAAAGTAAAAGCACACCACACAAAGCCACGATCCATTGCTGCTACAGTAGTGACTGCACAGGTACTAAAGCGGGACTGCCTGGCACGTGACGTGTCTGCGCAGCATGGAGATGCTGTGAACAACACGTCGGTATTGCTTTATTTGTAAACTAACATTTTTGAGCTTCAGGATTGCTATTTATTTATTTTTAGAGCCGCCCCCCACACCCCCCCCCCAAATTTTTTTTGTAATCCTGTAATGTATACGCAGCACGTTGTTATCCTCCCCATTTATTTTGAGGACACCCTATGTAAAAACATTTTTTCGTCATACGCCATTGGCAGTAAGCACATTAACAAGACCCACGACATTCCCACAACATTTGTCAATAACACTGCCATGAAAAGGAAAGATATATTAGGTGACATTGGACAATGGCCCGTTTTCATAGTGTGTAATTTTTACTTTCTTACAGTAAAAACACTTGTGCGGATAATTTTTGTTGCATTTTTAAATTACAACTTGTATCCTTTATGCTCGAGTGCCTTGACAAGGTGACGACTTATTCACGCATGCACTTCGCTGCGTTGGAACAATGTCGCGTTGTTTGCAAAAAGCGTCGTCAAGGTGACCCTCTGAAAGGCTAACAAATACCGCTAAGGGCCTGATGAATTTCTCTATTGCATTGCCAGTGCAGGACGGCCCAAATTTTATGCACCATTTAAGGCTTCAATTCAAATGGGATGACCTGTGTTTGATTCATTTTTTCCCCCCCACCCGAAAAAAAATGGCGCAAGTCAGATAGAGGTTGCGCATTTTGTTTTGTTCGCTCCGCAACGCACAAGACCTGTCACCGCCGCACGCAAATTTGTCCTCAAGTATAGATTCGTGAATAATGGAACCTTGGAGCATTTCACGAGAGAGGGCTCCAAACATTTGTTTTATGTTGTGAGATGCGTTGGGAGAGGAAAATAATAATAAAAATGCCGCAACAAAGGCCTGCTTGTAATATCTGTGCGGATCATGACCAAGGCCGCTGTAAGACTTGGCAACGTAAGTAATGTGCGGTCACATGTTGTGCGATGTGACAAATCGTTAGCAAGCCCTGTATTACAGTCATTAACTCCCTCGCCCATACCACCGCACTCTTGCAGAACACTGGCAAGACGTTTAATTTATCGCAGGGGAGCCTGTACTTATTTTTCCTAAACGCGATTCGTAACCAACTGGCGCAGAATGATGCATCACCACGTTGCTTTTGGCTTGCGTTGTCATTAACGTCGTTATTTTAAAGCCCGTTACCTTGAGGGTTTTTTGTGTTTCGGCAAGAATTGAATACGGCTATTGTTGCGGCAGCTGGAAGAATACAGTGATTGCTCGGTGGGTGAATGGGTTAACCTTCACCCTGTCGTGTGCCCATTCTTTGTGCCGGTCTCAGCAGCTTAGACAATCTCCGATAAATACTTTATCCATCATCATCACTTGTGCCTGTTTTTTTCTTCATCGCCTGCACAATTATTCATTAATTGGAAATGTGTTAAGTGCCCTACTATTTATGACAGGATTTAATTGACTAAGTTCATTAGAAGCGTGAAATATAATTGGATTCTCACGAAACGCAGTTGCTTGTGTATTTTTTGTTTTGTTTTTCATATTTTACTTGAAGTGGATTTGAATGGAGGCGGTAATGTGTTTGCACAAAAAGCCTCGCCCCTTTGTTCCTCGTTTCGATCTTAGTGCGCGCTTTGCCACTGGGCTAACTTAACATTGATTAATAATGTTCATCTTCAAAACAAACAAAAATCAAACCCTCCACATCTACTGTCCAATCATGCCTTTTAAGTGGAGCAGCGCGTGCAAGCCATTTGCACCAACACAATTAACCCTTTTTCCACCCCAGCCACGCAAAGCCATTTTCCACGTAACTTTAAAACTTAGGCTGCGCACTACCCATTCAACGTGCTGACAATTGCACCCAGCGTTCATTTCAGTCCCAACTCATAATGAGAGAGGAGGTTCAATCCACACACCTTTTCTGTGCTTTTTTTTTTGGATCTCCTACATATACAGACAGGTGCCTTCTTTCTTTTTGGGGTGTGATGCAGCACAGAGTGGGGTTAAACTCAATCCGAACCCAGCTTCCCTTCATGTTATTGCTTGTCCTTATTCACTCTGCTGTCCTCGCTTGCGATATGAGCAGGCCCTATACGTTATTGAAAAAATATTGGCCGGATTAGACCTAATGCCGTTTTTCTTCACCCGCGCCAAAGCCACGGCTGTGAAAAACAGCGGAAATGCAGCCTGCCGCACCAGGTGATTTATGTTCTCCAGGGAACTGGCTGAGTTTTATGGAGCCTGTATATTAACCCTTTAGGAGTGCGCGTCCCTGTGCCACCTACAGCAGCTCCGTCCCATTCGCTCAACCGAGCGTGGGCTCGTTTTGACCCGATGCTGAGCCCTGCTCTTTGGCAAGCAAAGGTCGATAGCTGCCCGCGGGGAGGAACGTCGAACAAGAGACATGATTATGGCCACAAGCTCGCTCCCCAGCATGCAAAATCGCACGAGACGGCGACAGAAAAATAACACGATGTAAAAAAAAATTGACGAACGCGCTTTCCGCGAGCTGGGGATGTGTTTGGGCCGCGGCGAGCTTTGGGTGGCGTGGACCGGGTTGTCCCTCGCCACTGCCAAAAGATTAAATTCACGGAGCACAGGATGGAAATCTGTCTCGGAGGTCAGTTCGGAGCTGAGTAAATGTTGTTTGCCGAAGCTTTAATCCGTTTTCACCGCGTTCCCGCGAGGAAAGTGAAGAGCCTACAGAGCTTTGTGCAGAGGATTTCACTTTAATACCAAGTTGTCTTTCTCGTACAATTTATAAGCACACAATTCCTCCAGGAGAGGGAGATTTATTAGAAGTTGGATTCTTTTGGTGGGAAAGGTAACAAAAGTAGTGAGATGAGGCATCGGTGGAATTGCTTGCCTGCTAGCTGCGCAATAGTGTTTTTGTGAAAGGTGCGTAGGTGTGCGAGTGTGTGTACCAGCGTGTGAAGTGTACGGCCTGCTGTGTATCCTGACAGAGCGGGCTGTGGAGTCGTCAGCTGCCTGTTACGGTCAATATAAACGTGATTGGTTGTGAGTAGGGCACCATTAAAACATGCTTTTGGGTGCTGGGAGTTGGAACGGCAATAAAACAAATAAATGAACCCTCTCACTCAAGCCTCAACATTTACAGACAAAATCAAAGCTCCACACGTTTAGCTCTATAGACCAAAGGGCGAAATGCTGTCAGTGAGCGCCTATTAAGACTGGCAAGACACTAGGGGACGATGTGGCCAGAACCAGAAATGCCCAGCAACTGTTAAATGCCGAATATGTAGCAGGTACTCATTGAAGGTGGTGTTCACCTAAAGAAATGGCCATTGTGTTAATAATGTTTTTCATGGCCACGAACTGGACCTGAGCTGACATGTTTGTAACACAGCGCGTGAAATATTCTAAACTCCACTCACATATGAAATGCTGCACAATAAAATCGCATTCACAGGAAAAAAACCCCAGCAAAATCAGTATCTATATACACGGGCGTCCAAATTCCAGCAGTAAGTAGCACGATGGGACAATGTTGTTTGGAATGAGTTGTTGCTCCGATAAGATGTAAAAAGGGAGAGCAGTAGTGTGTGGGTGGGTGCGAGTGGGGAGGAGAAAAGAAATCACAATAAGAGATGAAAACATTGATTTGGACTGCTTAGAAAACTCCCGTGTAAGTTATGTACGCAGCAGAGCTCAATCAATAGCGTACCAATTACGGCCATCGAAAAAATAACTGCTGCTTTGGCATTTACTCATGTGCGTCTGATGGAGTGTGCCTCTGCATTGGCTGCAGGAATCCTGAGCAGAAGGAATACAACTTTGACAAGCATTCTAGCCAGCGGGGCCAATTCCTGTTAAAACAGAGCTTTCGATAAACTAATGCAATCCACCCACGGGAAAGCTTTTAAAAATCTTCCCCAAGTATATATTTTTTATACAAAAATGTGTCTCGGAGCAACAAGCTTTGGGGGAGGCGTGGGGCCAGACTCGGAATTGGAAATTGCGAATTCACAAGTGTCTTGGTCTTGTATGGTTAATAATTAAGCCGTAAGTGCCAATAACGGCTAATGATTTTTTCATTTTCCCCGCAGCGTACCTCTCACTCCCAAGTCGGAGAAGAAGATGTCTGTGGTCTTACGAGACATAACCAGGTGAGCCATGCAGCCGTGCTTTTGGGGAAAAAAACATGACTTTTGTAAATTGTGCAACAGCACGTGAATCTTACTCAAACGATGCATTGTTCACAAAAGCAGTTGTCCAACGCATAACCTCGTCTATTGAACTAAAATCAAGAAGGCTGATGTCAGTCTGGTCTCATAGGCTGACCATAATAAGGAGGCATTCCACTCTAATGAGCAAGCATCTGCTTTGGAGTTGAACTGAATCACATGAGCTTGTAAAGTTTTCTTTCATGATCTTCACTATTATGAAAATTAGAATGTTGACCTCGTGATGCAAACCACATTATTTCGGCCATCAATCTGGCAGACAGGTCCATAATTTGCGGATTAACTTAAAATTCCTACTATAATCACCCAGAAATGTCTGTCCTTAACACTCGTTACGTCACCACATTGACCAGCCCCCCTCATTAATATTCATGAGCAGGTGACATCCTCCAAATGGACAAACCCCACCTCTCATTAATAATCATGAGCAGGTGACCTCCTCCAAATGGACACCCCCCCCCCCATTATTGTTACCGACTATAATGAGTCTGCAATGCTCGTGACGTCACTCCACGTCGACCAGCCCCCTCAATAATCATGAAGAGGTGACGTCCTCCACATGGACACCCCCCCCCTCATTAATAATAATTAGCGGGTGACGTCACTCCACATGGGGGGGGGGCGAGGCGCCTCCTCCCCCCTCCTCGGCGTCAACTTACAACCCTCGCTACAAAGGCAGAACCCTCACGTCACGCGACCTCCGTAACGCTATTGAGACATCAAAGTCAAAAGGACGTCGTGATGAACAAGGGATTATAACCTTTAAATGAAATAGGTCTGTGTCACCGCGCCCTTACAAATTGCACACGCATTGATGCAATGAATATCACGTCGCGGTCTGCTTTTCGTTTGCAAGTTTCAGATTTACTGCAATACCACCCGTCCTTGGATGGGCAAAAGGCTAGTACCTATTAATCAACAAAACACATCACATGTAAACACATATTTTGACTGTCCTGTCTACGTGTGGTATTTAAATGCCTAAAATGTAACACATTTTGGTAACACGGAATACACATTGGTTTATTGGTATTACGTTTATGCTTGTTTAACCAGGAAAAGTCTCACTGACTCTTAAGGCTCTTTTTCAAGAGGGTCCTGCCATGTTTTCACAGTAGGGGCCGATGTTGCTCGGTGTAATCCCAATCAAAAATAATGAAAGAAAATGTCACGAGTTTTTATAAACCGCAACTCATTTTGATCTTTCATGCATCCAAGTTACCATACAGAGCAGATGACTCAAAGAAACAACCCCAGAAATTAATTGTTCTGATATATACTTGGGCTGTTATGTTTAGGCTGTCTGACATGAGTTTGACGCTTTGTTAATGGGTCAAAATACGAGTATCACAGAAGCAATGTAGTGATATCAGTGCCGTTACATTAATGATAATAATATATTGGACTTATGCACTGAGTTCAGTGGAGCATTGCTGATTAACTTTAAAAGTATTATTTTCTCCGTAACAAAATGTTAAACTTGTCCTCTAACAAACTGGGATCCACAGCCCAGGTCTGCATCTGTGAAATAAGAGCCGTTTTAGGTTGCATCTTACCTTAACTGGGTGCCACGGTGACGAGATGGTAACTACCTCGCCTGGTATACAGGAGGTCGTGAATTTGATCCCGACCCTGACTCATGTATATTTGGAGTTTGCATGTTCTCCCCGTGGTCTCGTGGATTTTTCTCCAGGTCCTCCGGATTTTCCCTCCACATTTAGAAACATGCGTTTAGAGTATTTGACTGATAGAAATTTCCACGTGATAAGCCACTTAATTGCGCTATCATTTGTGGACAGGTCGCTTCTAAAAATACCTATGTCGCTCAGTGGGCCTCACCTGATAAAATAAAAAAAATACTTTAAAACCGATTGGCTTTTCAGTGCATGAATTGCATCCTTCAAGATAACACCGACTTGGTTGTCCGACATTGCCAGATTGTCAATACCTCTCTGATAAAGACAAGTTTTTTTGGCACTTAGGGCCCCTGCTATTACATACATTGTACAGTACCAGTGAGTTTCAACGTGTCCTTGAGTCAATTTTTTTGTTTCAAAATTCTTAAATATTAAAGTTAATGGCTGGCTTAGGCAGGTAAGCCTCGGACTCTGGGTTCTTGCCCAAGGGCTGACAAGGTGTGAAACAAATAAACAAATTATGATGAATGTAGCCTCTGTGAGGGGGTTGGGGGGGGGTGGAGTTGGGGTGACATCACCACGCGGAGCCCCGTTCAATGCTGTGCGATGAGGGGTTAAAGTCATCCTGCATGTATGTGTGGTGACGTCACCACCTACTGCACTCGTGAACTTGCCCCAGCCAGGAATCCAGCCACGTATCCATCCAGCAATACTTTTTTTTCTAATATAGTATGATATGACGTATATGAATGATAGCAGTGCTCACGCATTTGTGCAGGATACACAGCCAGGATGGAGGGTTGTTGGGTGGGGGTAGGCGTGAGGTCAGCGCGACGCACGGATCTGGCTCGCGGGTGATATCATCACCACTGCCAGGAATCCAGGCAGGCAGGCAGGAATCCAGACGACAAAGCATTTTTTTCTAATATAATATGAATTCAATACGTTTAATTCTCCCCTGCAATACATGAAGCAAAATTTAATAATACAGTCTAGATTATTGTAGACAATCACTGTTGGCTTCCCAAAAAGTGGTCCTTAATTTATTCATCCCAGAGAAACGATCGGGCGAGTTGAACCCCGACCGGCATTTATACTTGCAACTCTCTGATTCTGAGGCGGATGCACTTACCAAAGTACAAAGTGTCTTCCTATTGGGAGAGCTCTCCCTGCCATGGGATTGCTGAATTTCCATCATTGATTCAGGACATTCAACAGAAGTGAGGGACACCCAACACCACATTGAGCAGAGACATTGACCATCATTTATTGGGGATTGGCTCCCTGTTCAGTTTTCTCTCTGCTGTCTGCAGAATAACTTCGCATGAATGAAAGCGGGCACTGCATCTGGCTTACAGCATTAGACATTGCACACATCATGTCATCCGTGAAGGCATTTCCATGCTGGCTTCCCGTGTCACATGCCAAGCACTAATATTGCCCGTAATTGATGCGGTGCACAGCGGTGAGGGCTCGTTAAGGGAATAATAAACGGGGCTACAAGGGGGCCGCTTGTGTGAACTGCCCGCCGTTCTTTTATGGGATGCTAAACGATTGTCTTCCGATCCCATAAAGCAGAGCGTCCTTGCCAATGATTAAGGGAACGTCTAATGCACTGCCAGGGCTGAATAAGGACAATTTATATTTTCACTTTGGAATTGCCATTCGTAATTATATGATGCTGACTTTTATTAATCTGTCCATATTGTAATTAAAACGCACGTGTTAAAGGAGGTGATAGTTTCAGCCCAGGCACCAATAACTGCACAAAAACCTCGTGCTAAATTTGGTTTCCCATTTTTTAAATTGGAAAATTCCAGCTTTGAGAATATAAAAAATAGCTCCCCTACCATGCAATGGATAGCTTTATCGCTTTGGTCTGGGGAAAGCGCAGCACCCATTGTGTGGGTAAGACACGATTGAAGGGACCTCCAAACTTGTTCTGTCATTACCTTCCAGAAGCCATTCTCTTTGTCAAGACCTGATGCACGGCCTACTGCGAGAGTTAGAAATGGAGAATTGCACGGGGCTTGGGGTAGACTGCTTATGTGTTACGAGTTAACAGATCAGGTTGACAGTCAGATGCACTACCGACAACCATAATGCTCAGCCCATTTACTGTAGTAGAAAATTATATTTGTGATCACCTATTCAGGGACTCGCTTACAACATAATACAGGAGAGTTGGGTGTGGCTAGCACTATGCCTGTTCACCTTTGTCTCCCTATTGCTGTTGTGTTACACACTCCACTACTAATTTTAAGGCTGAATTGACTTAGAGGAGGCTCATGGAGAGGCCCAAGACCAGGTCAGATATTCCCCACCAATGTTAGCCATGAACGAGAATCAAACTCGGGATTTTTCCGTTCATAGCGTAGTATGCTAACCACTCCTCTACCTCTCCCACGCAATACGTGCAAATACACAAAAATACATAAAACGCGTACACGTACAATGACGTGTGTGCCCATCGCGCCTGTTCGTGCGCGTGTGCACTAGTGCGCGGGGGGCACATATGGTGCGGCAGACTCGCAGGGGGGGGAGTGGGCGGGGTGGGTGGATGGCCGAGCGGGCGAGTGTGAATGAGTGTTGCTGCTGTGCTTTGCCGTGGGCAGGCTGACGAGCGAGGATGCCGCGTGGAAACAGCTCGTCGCAGTGTACCGGGGCCGCGCCGAGGAGACTTCCAGGTGAGCCCTGCACACGACAGCTCGCCACCCCTCCCACCGCCCCTGCACACCCCCCCCCCTTGCCCGTTGCAGAAGGCCTTTCTCCCCGAGCCTCCCCCTCTGCCGCCAGTTGTCTCCCAGAGTCCCCTTCAGCCCTTGCCATCTGCCCAACGTCTGTGCAACACTCGTGCTAAGCCGGAGTCGTGTTTTTACCGTTTTAGTTTCTGCGATGGGGGGAAAAAAAAACATCATCTTGTGACACTAACGTGGAACGGCCCCTGTGTGAATAGCAGGAAGATGACCCCGTTATTGTAAGAGCGGCTGGTTTGCTGTGATGTAGCAAAATGCGTGTGCATACTCAGTCTTACAGACACGTCAATGATGTAACGGATATAGCGATTAGCGGTTTAATATATTTGTTTAAAAGTGTGTTTGCACACAGTTTGGCACTTTAGCTTTTTATTCGCTTTGTTTTCAACTGTGTACACATTTGGCATCAGCTATAGATGTTTTATATTTAAATGTATTGTCTAGTATATTACAACTACATCAGTCTACAGCTTTGTTTGGACATATTTCACGCTGGTCAGTGTGGGCTGGGTGAAGGAGGGTGACCAGGACCCTGGCCGGGAATGAAACTCATATGGTCGTGCAGTGCACAGACCACTCCTCGAATGCCCCACCTCCTATTTCTTCTGACGTCACCGCCACTCCGGCCAATTCCATAACATCACTATAATTTCCATCTCATGCACTCGCACAGATAACAAATATGCCCACTTTTATTGAATTACGTTTTAGAATCTTAATTATAGCACATAGTTTGATATGAGCACTGCACCTGTCAGATGAAAATGGTACAATCTGGGAGAGCTGTTTGAGAATAGCCAGGGTTGAGAAGTTCTCTGGATCCTGGAGATATGTTTTCTCTTAAGAACTGGGGAACCACAACTCCAGACTTGTTACCATATTATTTCACAGATGTGGTGCTCGTACAAAACGATTTGTTAAAATATTTTTTTTACATAAATATGATTGTTTTTATTCATGGTCTGTGCAAGTATATGAGATAGGAGAATAGGTTCTGACAGTTTGGATTTGGTGCTGGTGGTGGCAGTGACATTGTAAAACAAGATATTTTTTAAGTAGTCTAAAAAAAATGTTTTGGTGTTGAACGTGCAAGTAGGTAAATGACATTCGTTATAATATTTTAATGTCGGTTGAGGTAAGAAGTCTGACAAGTGGCCTTAGATAAATGACACAAAATAAAAACAAACAGAAGAATATAAGGAGTGAAATTGGAATAAATCACAGTGCCAGAAAAAGGTAGAGAACAAAAACAAGACATTAAATGAAAAAGCAGTAACTTAAATATGTGTATAACAGACTGTAAAAATAACAAGTGCCTGGGATATCAGTGCTGATATTTAATACTTTAATGTTGATGGCTTTAACTCAAAATTCAAGTTGCTCAGGGCTGTTCATTTGCATACTTATGGCTAAATTAACACCTTTATAAAATGGACTAAAGTAATCACCTAAGGAGGGTTGTTAAAATATTTTCTTTTCCATTACCGGTAACCACATGCAAAAAAAAAAAAACATAAAAAAACGATTACCAGTTTGCCGCGCGTATAGAAAAATATATCGAGAACAATGAAGCTAAAATTTTTCCGTTTTAACTGAGAAAGGAAGAGAACAGCCACGGGGTAATGGCCAGCACACTGCACTCGCAATCCAGGGCTCGCAATGGCTATTGTCACAGATTCTGGGTTAAACTTTGTGAGCCGAAACACCTGAGCAATTGCAACCTCGGTGGTTACCAGACAGTCTTTGTGGCTCAAGGGATTGAAGGGGGCCCCCTATGGTATTTGAAAGTTGCTATTCAGAAAAGTGACACACGTCACGTTGGAACAGCGTAAGGAAAAAAAGGGGAATGAAGAGATGCTTTGTTGGTCCCAACAAGCGTCCCATTCGGTCCCTTTGGGGCAATGGAAACAACGGTGCTGGCAGATCCCAGAAGCGCAAGTCAGATGCAGTAGGCTGCCTGGAAGACTGGGAAGGCCCACAGGGGGAAGAGGCCCCAGAAAGTGGCCGCTCTTCCCGTGGGTGGAGGCGACAAGACATTATAGTCCGCCTCCCTCGAGACATCCCAGCCCGCCTCCCTCAAGTAATGAAGTGTGGGGGGCAGGGAGCGGCGAGTGCCCCCTGGCCCTGGCACCCAACAGACTGATGCAGTTTGCCGCAGTCTGGGAGAGGACCACTCGGGAGGAGTGGTTCCAGAGTATAATCAGGCTTGGATACGGGCTGAAATTCACCACATCCGCCCCGGGGCCTTTCTGGGTAGAATCGCAACCTCCGCTGCACCCAAGCATAAAATGAGACTTATTAGCAGAGATGTCGACACTCCTGGATATAGGGGCCTATAAGGGAAGTCTCGATGGGGAAGCAGGATTTGGGAATCTACTCATGATTCTTTATGGTCCCCAAACCATGTGGGGGTTTACAGAGCCATCCTGGATCTCAGCAGGTTCAACAGTTTGATCATATCGCCGTTTCAAACTGGATTCTTGTTGATATCGATCGAGCGCAAAGGCATTCAAGCTACGTGACTGGATGTAATCGGTGGACTTGGAAGACACATATTTGCAGGTGAAGATCTTCAAAAGCAACCGCAAATTCTAGCGCTTCAGTATCACAGGGAGATGTGTGGAATTTCAGGTTCTTCCATCCGGACTCTCATCTCTGCCCACCTATGAAAGGACGGCATCCACATGTAACCCGTACTTGGACGACCTCTTAATAAGAGTGGGGTCCGAGGAGGTCATCGGAAGATCCGTGCTCAAAACGGCACGGACCTTGCAGGAGTACAGGTTCGCTTTGAACGGCCCAAAGCACGGTCTATGACCGGCAGTGAGGTTGAAAAGTGGGGGTTGTGATCGACATGACTCTGGCAAGGGTTTCTCCTAAAGGAATGGTCTTCATTTGTGTACAGTTTAGAGGTGTTTTGGTGGCCAACTATGGAAACTGGGTTCAACGTAATTATTAAAACCCTGTTTTCAATGTCATTCTGCTTTCCACGTATGTAGATTCGGTCTTTTTCATCCATATAGCTATAACTCGATGTCTGTTTTCCGAATTTTACATTAGAACTGAACTATAGACTGGCTTGTCTGTCTGCTTATTATCCACTGACACACTTCTATCAGAATCTGGGATTGCAGTGTGCAAATTTGTTAAAATAAAAACTGCTTCTTTCAGAAAGAAAGTTTTAAAAATTGGTTGGATAGGAAGAAAAAAAGCACTTGCCTCCTTGAAGAAATATTATCCGACCCAACAAGACCACACACATATATACCTGCTTAATTATTTGAATGAGCACAATCAATGAAAAATGAGGCAACATTTTGTTATTAAATTGTATCCAAATTTGTCTTCTAATTGGAAATCGTGGAGTATGAGGTCTGACGTGATTCGCTCTCCCCCCTCGCAGTTCAATGAATTTACACGATGCGGGGTCCACGATTCCAATCAAGAATCAATGCTACGACAAGCTGTAGTGCAGCACCTTTCTAGTGGCTGCAGGGGTCACGTGAACTAATGACACCAAATCTGAAACGGCCACTTCATAACATGCATAATTTTGTGCATCTGTCATGAGCATAAGAATCGATTTAATGTTTGGATCCCTTGCGCGCTGCTACTGTATACGCAACGTCCATCAATCTGGCCACGGCGTCCCCTTGTTTCTTGGTGTCTGCACACCTGTGTACACCTGCCCAACACTTAAAACGCCACCGATCTACAGCACAAAAAAGCACTCGGTTTCGGCAGCGTCGTCCCTGATATCCGACGTCGGTTTGTGTGTTAACGCGTGCAAGTGACAGCGAGCATCAAGATGCGCTATCTTTGAAAAAAAAATATTTGCGCGACATCGTAACTAACATATGTTTGGATAATTGACTCATCACGGGCACAGTGTCTGCCGTCAGCCGAGCAATTAACGTCGCAGGTTGGGACAAGCGGTCCTTCCCCATCGCGACGGGTCGACTGCTCCGCTGATGGAACGCAGCGGCGGGCGACTTTGTTGCATCTGCTTGTGCCCGGGGTGCTTGTGTGGGGCAGTATCTTTAATTACACGCCTCCTGAGCACGCTGTGTGCCGAGCCAACGTGAAAAATTAGCGACCGTTCCGCCAGCAGCGGCGGCAGTAACAGCTGGAGGAGCGGAGAAAACTAAAACAAAATTAAACTCCTTGTATTGTCAACAAAATGCAAACTGCTCACTGGCAGTCTAAAAAGCCATGGAGTCATCCTTTTTTTTCCACCAACTCTGTAGTTTGAGTCGTGTCAATTAACTCAACGATGTTTTTTTTTTTCCACAAGGCAGCTGCACTTCTTGAACGAGACTACAATGATTTACATTAAGTGAGGTTTTGTGGGAAGTGAACAGTGACTGTCTCATGAATAGCATGTCCCCCTCCTGCATTCATCATCATCATCATGACCTTCACTATGGATATATGGAATTTCCACCATTATTGCCACCGATGAAGGTAAGCGCAACTGCGCATTGAATGAAACATGTTTTGCATAATAACAATCTTTATCAAACGGACGCGCACGAGTTCTCGCTCCTTTTGATGCCATTGTGTCACCAGTCTCGTCCATGGGCCATCATTCCATCGAGCGATGTGCACTGCCCAAGCGTCTTACTTTTCGTAATCGTGGATAGGGCTGCGTCAGATATGCGTGTTCGTTCTTCAACCCCTGTTGTCTGGTTTTTCTGTCTGTAATTTCCAAGCGTGCATCTCTCCACACTTCTTTGCGTGCTCTTTTAGATTTTGTTCCATTTTCTTTGATAGTCTCCACGTTTTTGAAGAGTTTGTACACTTCCGGGCAAGCCTCCTGCATTCAGATATTTGGCCAAGTTCCTTGTGGTTTATTTTAAACACTCAAAAATCCGTACAGATAGGTCAGCCGACCTACTTGAGCGGACCGCTGCAAATATTTAATAGATATGCTTTACATGTATATGTTCATATGCATATGTCAAAAAAGATAGATTGTATATACATCCACTTAGAATATGTAAAAAATAAAATGAGCACGACATTATTTTCTTGTAAAAGAGTGCTCGGCGAAATTACAATGATGGGCCACTGCTTATGACCTCGGACAGGTGTGCAAACACTATATTTCCCCAGCACAAATAGTGCACGTGGCATTTGATTTTTGATGCAGCTTACGTGCGTGGATGCGGCGCTATTTTCAATTGCGTATTGAACGACATTGATTCCCCTGGCCTGGCAAAATGTAATTAGTGGGGGGTGCGTAACGACGCCGTGTATGCAATTGCATCTCTTTAGTTTGTGTGCTACAGCACCTTGCACGCCCAGCTCTGCCTTTTAGAGCTGAACCCAGACCGAAACGTTTTTTATTGCAGTTTGGTAACCCAGCCAGTGCCCATTTCATTAAATGTCTCCAGATGATAAAAATTACAGCGCTTATTTAAAATGGGTATTGAGGCGACGTGGTGGTTTCGAAATTGAATTGTTCATGTAGGAGACCTGAACCAGCATAACAAGAGGATCTAAAGTATTCAAGCTTTCGTGACTGCATAAAATTACTCATTGTTTTTTTTTTCGGTAAAGTCACGTATGTAGAAATACAACAAAATTATATTAAAACAAAAACAATCACGACGTTTCGATCACAACGCAAGCGATCTTCATCTGGTGTCAACAAATCACGGAGGTAAACACAACAAAAAGATGAGAGACGAGAATTCAACAAACCCGAAAAAACACCATGCGAAGCACATCCAGTCAGGCTAAAACACAGTCAGACACCTCCTGTTTTAATATAATTTTGTTGTATTTCTACATACGTAACTTAACCGAAAAAACTAATGAGTGAGAGGATCTAAGTTTAAGGTTGGTGTCTCTCTCAATATCTGGTGGGCTTAATGTAATAATTTGTAATTCTATAGCACCTCATTATAAGCGCATCTCCAGGTCATGTATATCGTAACCTTGATAACAAACAATGCAAACACAAGAATAAAATAAATGTAACAATAAACATGAAAACAAGACTTTGGCAGATTGAGCAACAGCGCAGCCCATGCTCTTTTAACCACTGCAACCCCATGCTGATGGTGCTTGTACTCTGTTGTCTAATGATAAAATGATGCAACATCTATACATTTTGTGCATTCTGCTATTATTGAACCAATGCCAACAAAATCTTGGGTTCAAGTCCTGGTGCTAGGTGACCCCCCTAAACCTTTTGTGCATTCCGTAGTTGAACATTTTTCCATACAGCTGTTTTCAGAGTTAGTGTGTCTCCCCGTCGTTAGGTGACGTTATAATTTTCACCGCACAACTGGTGCTTGCCTGAGCGTTTACGTTTGCCCTGGCCTACCTCTCCTGTGTGTGCCATGGTGCGGGTCGTGGGTTTGTTTGTGCATTCTTAAGGGGAGTAGTAGTGTAGCGGTTCGCGTGCTGCGCTACGAATCCAACGATACGAGTTGGATTCCCGCTCACGGCTAACACCAGTCACGATTATCTGAACCAGTCCTGGGCCTCCCCTAGGTCCAGGAGTACCTGGTGGGGTGTGTAAAAATACATTGGCACTTGGGAGACAAAGGCGGCCATGCATGGTACTGGTCACCCACTCGTCTGTCGTGCTGGCCCTCATAGGTGCTCGCTAACAGCACTTACACCTAAAAAGTTTGTTCAGGCTATACGGGGAATTTTTGTCTTTGTTGTCTCTGTCGAGCACAGGAGAAAGGAGCAGCTCAGGACGTGTCAGGGCAAGGAGGCGCTGTTGTGTGTGCCACCCCTGTCGGAGGAGGTGGCCGCCTTGCTGGGTCCGGAGAAGCCCGACTACAGCGCGATTCTCGCTGACCTTCCACGCACCACCGACACTGTGGAAATTGTGGTGCGTATGACACGTGGTGTCGTCTCTCTTTTGCCCTGAGCGCTACTAATTCACCATCTAAATTTACATCAATACTCACTTGCCTCTGCTGTCTTCCCATCGATTCGCTTGTCAGCTGTAAACTTAATCTTGTTTGTTATTGTAGGTCCTTTCCCGACCTGCTACGCTCATGTTAATAGCTTGTGTTGCAGAATGGAACCCATTTTATGATTATTATCTTCTTTAAAAAAAAGCATTTTGGCCTTTGATTATAGATGTATGCTAATGTTGCTAGGAAGTTATTGGCAATACAGGGAAGCAGCTTGGAAATTTGAAATAATGCTTGGTAATAAAGCATTGTAGTACTAATCAAGTACGAGGAGGTTGTGATGGATTCAAAATGTTACAAATTGAAAAGGGCACGTTACCGAGGCAGGATTTGGAGTAGCACCCAGAAGTTGGTAACTAAGTGGAAGACCTCGGGTCATATTGTGGGATACCATAAAAAAATACCTTAGAAGGCTGAGTTATTTAGCAGGAATAAAGAAGTGATAGCGAGGAGCGGTGACATGAAATTACATTGTCCATGATGACCTCTGAACATTTGTTGCTTTCTGATCTGCAAATGTGTTCATATCTCTCAACCTCCCAGTGTATACACTGGGGAAGGCCTCTCACTCTCTCGTGCTGTTCCAACGGCCTCGAATAATCTTACCCTTATTGTGCCTTCATTACGCTGGGATTAATAAAATGAGTAAAAGTGTGGGAGGTCAGCAGCGGTTGAAGTGCAGGGTAATCCATTCGCCGCCATGTGAATGTGGAATTTCTACCACTGGTTCAGGATCGCCAGTGGAGATGAACACTGCCGAATGCACGTGTGAGAAAGGAAACAATTTAAATTGACTAGCACTGCACCCTAAAGACCACCGAATACAATTAGTTCTGTCCTATTTTCACTTACCCTCACCCTGTCACCTTCCCCGCCACCTCTTGCTCATTTGTAATGATACATTTTTGTACGGATGTGCATACACATCCACTTGTGTCTCCCTGTCCCCGACTGTAAATTACAATTGCTCACCTGTCAGGATTCTGCACAGCGTCTAGAGATGTGGCTGTGTTTTGATGCCGCTGTACGGAACTAAATTGGCAGGGTGCCCATTTGCACCTTGTCTAAAAGTCACAAATTCGCACCCTGTCTAAAAAGCCATAAGTAAAACGCATCACTTTTTGAAAGCGCCACTGGCTTTTGTGAATTGTTGCACGAGTCCATATGGTTGTGTCTTCGGTCTACATTGCATTGCGAACCGTCATATTTTAAAAATATATATCCATCCTGTGTACATTGAAAATTGCTGCATATCCCGTTGGTGCCATCAGTCAAGACTTTAGGCAAAGTGATATTCTGGATAGTTCCTACGAGCAGAGTGTCATGTGTCAGAAGTGAAATACTCCCAGAATAATATACCCCAGAAACAGTGTCTCAAAAGCACTCAGAATAAAACCACAAGTCTGCGCTCCTACATGATGTGTTGGAAGTGGTCAACCACGTATCTGTCATCTACCTCCCTGGCAGTCCGCTGTTAGATGAAGGGGCTCCCCATATTTGTTAAGAGGTTTGTTAGACTATGGGTTGGTGAAGAGGGGGTGATGGTCCAGGACCTGATCAAATGGCGCTTTTGCCACGGATGTTAAGCTGTGGCTGGAAATTGAGCTCTGCTCACCGAATCGTTAGCTCGACGCGCTGCTACCCTCTGCATCACTGCTCCGCCAATGGAATGCGTCGGTGTTTTTTTGTGTGTTAAAGCTTCTGCTCGAAGCGAAGCTTTCCAAGGCAATTGCTATCCTCGACAAATGGCTGAATATTGACAAATGTATAATTATTTCAAACTTATCGAAATTGTCAGTGTGCTGCTTTTTTTTCTTAACACTTAAGAAAATTGCGTACTGTATGCCCACAAACATTTAATTGCTACATATTTTAAAGGCTGCATACCTATCTGTTACACATCGATTTTTGTATAGATTAACACGGTTGGTTATGTATGGTGCAAAAGAAGTTCAACATCCATGCATACACACACAACTCATGCACAAAAGTGTACAGTTAATGGAATAGCATATGCTAATAATTAACTGCCAGGTTCCAATGTAGCTGACTTTTCTCATCCATCTATATGCTTATTTTTAAATGGGATCCATATTGCTACCTGGTATAAACAGAATCATATGATTCGGACAGATTCCTCATTCAGACATTAAATAAAGGTTTTGCCCACGTCAGAGCTGTGAGCTGTAACAATAAACAGCCAATGCAGGCTCTTTTTGTGTCTATTAAGATTTACAGTGCAATGTACAGCTCGCTGTGATCATCCACATCTAGTCAGGTGGCACAGTGGTCAAGGCATTTGGCTCACAATCGTAAGCTTGCGCGATGAAATCCCAGCTGTGTGCGACTACCTATTTTCTCTCAGGCTAAGTAATGACGACCACTGTGCAAGAAGTCAGCAGTGGTTGTCCTTAAAAAAAACATGCCTCCCCCCGATCACGTGTCATGTGAATGTGGAATTTCTACTGCTGGCTTGGGGCTGCCAATGGAGATGCAGTCGGCCACTTGCTTGTGCCGCTGTGAGTCTTGTGGTCAATTATGCCGAACCACCAGCATCAACTGCGTCTGTCGATATCTCCAAATGCCCTACTCAACTGACATGCAATTTCTAACCGGGGGCTGGGAAGAGGGGAGCCACGGAGGTGAATGTGTACCCATGACGCTGGTGCCAATCCCGCGTTTGCATGCGTGCCACACTTTCAGCTCGACCATCTGCAGGAAGTGGTGAGGCTTGTCACGAGCACGGTCACCGAGACGGAGCGCGTCATCCAGAAGGAGGAGACGTTGATGAGTGAGTACTTTTTTTTTTAAACAGACTTATTGCCTGGGATCAGCTGCTCATTTTCTTTCGCATCCACTGCCTTCATTTCTCATTTTGCCGCATCATCCCATCTTGCTCTCGGTCCTTCTGCCGTGCACCCGTGGCATCTCCACAGCTCTTCTAGACTATGGGTCTCTATGTGACCTTGTGGGTCTCTCATCTCCACAGCCCTTCTAGTTGCATCTTCTTTGTCTCTTCTCACCAGGTGCCCAAACCATCTCACCTACCTCACCTTCTCGAGAATATCAGTAAAACCCCCTGCTAAGGCTCCAAATTCTGCATTTTACCCCTCTTTTCCCTTTGAGATATTCCCAACATCCTTCTCACATTCTCATCTCTGTCCTCTCAAGCACTCTCTTTCGCACCATGTAATAGAGCTTGCCGCATCACTCTTCTATAGATGGCGCTAAGCTTGAGAGAAGAGGACCTTTCCTTACCTGAGGTTGTGGCCAACTTTGGTTTGTGTGGTGTTTTTTTATAAGCGGTCTGTTGCTTGTTGTGGCAGATGCCTGGAATCCAGAGACGATATCGTTTAAAGTTGTCTCATATGGGTGAGATACCCATTTGCATTGAGGTAGAACAGCAAGAAGACCACTGACCCATATGCGCAGGTTCTAAGTGTTTCTTTTGTGGCTGGGTCTCCCTTAAGGTGCAATAAACAGAAAGACAAGTGGTGTTCCTGTGTATTCCTGTAGGATGCAGTGTGCCAAGTGGGTTATCAAACTCAACGCTGCTTTTGACTAGCCATCGAACGAAGACGGTCACTACATCGCGCGCTTTCAGATGCGTTTCTGTGGCCGTCTGGAATAATTTTCCTTCCAATATTATGAAGCCACTGGAGCTGTGCACTTTTTAATCGACATTGAAAACTAATTTCTTTAGAACTGCTTTTTGTGTTTAGTTTGTCCTTTCCCTGGAACTCCGATTAATGGTATCCCTTGTGATGCATCTATTTTCTCTAGTCACCCTGGTTTCCTGTCGACACAGTCGTAATGCATTGTGGGTTGTAAATTAACAACTTACCAATGCAGCTCATTACCCCACGGATTCAGATATACCACGGGTCAAGTCATCCAACGAAAAAATACATAACCTAAGGGGATGGATGAATGAAAAAGGCAAATTCGTATAATTTGTTCATTTTAATCAACAAGATCAGTGCATCCTCCCAGGTGTTTGGTAGCTGATCCACCCCCCTCCCCCCACTTCCTGCCCCTCCCCACACCATTGGTCACAAAGCATTTTGGTGCCAGACAGCCATCAGCCCCCCATCCGCCGGCCCTCTCAATTTGCAGATGAAGTACTCTGATATATATGCGCAAATGTTTGACACAAATATTGCATACGTAAAACAGACTTTTGTCTATCTCTGAATTTATTCTTCAAAGGGGAATTGGCCAAATATTTCCAGCAAGGACACGCCAGGAAATTTTGTGACTCGATGACGCTTCTATCGGCACACTGTAAAGCATTCTGTTACCACTGCTGTTGGGATAATTTTTCCGTCTGTTAGTTAAGTCTTTGAAAATGTATATGCCAAATTGGCCCTTGCCACACTAAACGTGGCCAGTAAACGTTACACATTTAGTTTTGCAGGGTTGTGTAAAAATAAAATCAACTGGGTTTTCTTTTTACATGACGTAGATTTTGTTTACATGTTTATGTAATGGCTCATGAAGTTAATGGAGGGCTTGTGCTCAATTATTTTCCCCAAAAATGTAGCTTAAAAAAAAGTGTAATATCCGTAACAATTTGTCCGAATAGTTTTGGCAACAGTGGATTGAGTCGGCACAACTGTAGTCTTAACCCCGAGGCATGGCAGGTGTTTCAAATTCTGTGTTAAAAACACGTCCGTAATTTATTACTGAAAGTTGAGAGAAGTGCCGAAGAAATGTGTGGTTGTTATCGTTTGTGTGTGTGTGTGCGTGGGTGTTTTTATAATGCGTGTTCCTACACTTTTTGTGCTTTGACATATCTTGTTGATTACAGAAATTGCAGTAAAATTTGTGCAAGTGTTGATGACAAAACATGAAAATTGTAATGAGAAATGAAAATAAACAAACTTGATATTATGCAATCGGGATGTTAAAAATTAATATAAATTATTACACCCATATACTTATTAAAGAGAACGTAAGTGGATATTGCGGTTGGAAAGTTATTTGATTGTTTACTGTAAAATTAACACAAGTGGATTACTACCTTACAAAGATAGTTGACCTTTAATGTATCAAGTCAGGGCTTATTGACAGAAGTCTTTTGTTCAGAGCAGACTTACTTTCTGTACGACTATCAACAGGCCGATATGCAGACCTAGAGGTGGTTATTGCATGTCCATAATATTGTCTTTTCGGATTCGCCAAATCTGTCTCCAGGATGGTACATATGGATAGACTGGTCCCCACCATGGGAATGTGGAATTTCCACCACTGGCTCAGGACCATCCAGAGAGATGAATGCTCTCCCATGATTCCTTTGAATCAGGAGATACTTTGACTTTTTTGTCAGTATGGTCGTGATACGGCTCAGTGGTAGCACATTTGATGCTTGTTGCAGAGATTCGTGGTTCGAAACCAGCAGTCCCTTCTAGGTAAATAGTGCAAGTGTATTTCCATCAAATTGACGGCGTCTGCTTCACACTGAACTATATGTATCCAGTGATGTCCTTCGAGGAAGAGTTGGCCATTGTGAGCCAGGGTCATGGTCTAAATATGAGAAAATTACTTGCAAATGACTTAATTGGGAACCCCCACAGCAACCATCAGCTGCTGCTACAACTTAGCAGGACGTTCCTGAAAAATGAGTCGAGACCCGGTGAGGCTTTCTTGTGTAAAGGAGCGTACTGATAAAACTATGTGTGTGCAAGTCACGTTTTGTGGGTGGGCACTTTAAACACAATTTGCCATTCCAGATGCTGAAGGGGAGAGGTGTTGTCATTGCTCGCAGTGTAGGAGACTGCGCTTCTCATTGTTACCTGCCAATGTTTTGGCTCTCCGGGGTACCGTTGTCACAGCGTCGGCCCAACACAGCTCGTTAGTGCTCGCTAAACAGGCCGGCCCGCCCCCGGCCCGTGTTTGCTGCGGGGCTGACATAGGCACCTCTTTCTTTCCTCCCTCGCTCTCTTTCTCCATAGCCGGGAAGTCGCGCCCGCCTGCCGTTCGCCGCAGGTGGCATGGGCAGATTCGAGCTGTCAGTTAACACAACATCAGCCCCGGGTCGTCCCCTCGGCTTGCACACTCAATTACACACACTCGCTCAGCGCTGACTTCCCAGCACTCTGCGTGCGTTCCTCCCGCCTTCCCGTCACCCCCTGTCTCTCTCACCTCTCTTCCTCTTCTCACTCCATATCTGCGTGCCGCGAGTCTGCCGTGTGTGTGTCTTTGTCTCCGCGCACTTTCCAATGTTACCGTTTTTAGTTTTGTTCGTTTTCTCAGCGTGCAGTATAGGTGAAGATTTGCCCCAGCAGCCATCGTTGTAGGTCACAATGTGGCTTTTGGTGCATTCATATCCGTTATGTATGAGTATTATTGTAAAAAAAAAAATTGTATTGCCAGTGCAAGAATCATGAACAAAAGTTTGGCAAAGTCACTGAACATTCATCCATCTCATCTATTGACTGGGTTAATGTAGATGACTGCACTGTCGTTTAATTCTTATCGGCATTTCTCATGTGAATGGAATTGGTCTTATGTCGTGGTGGCAACACGCAGTTGTAATCCAATATCTTGATGGGGGGAGAAGAGGAGGGAGGGTTGGACATTCGTGCAGGGATGGAGTTATAAGGTGCATGACATAATCTCTAAGGGAAATTGGTGTCTCAAATAGGTAGTAGAGCAAGTAGGTGTGCACCATCTGTGCGGAATTGTGAGCGTTATCCCCTTGTAAGCGTACATTTGTCCAGGTACTCCAGATTCCCATAAGAAGAAAATTGGCTACACAACTCAAGCTTGACCCGCCTGAAAACATGTCCTTAGCCTTTCGTGAGAGGCATTTCTGGATAAATATTGATTATTTTTTATATGATTGTTTTCGTAATTGAATCTGCAAATTGGCAGAAATGTATCTCTTGTATGTATGTATGTTGAACTCGTTCACACCGTACGTAGCCAACCGTGCTAGACGGAGGTGCGGAGGAAGGACAACAAGCTAAACACAAGCAGTTCTAAAGAAATGAGTTCTCAATTTCATGTAGTATTGCAGTGTATAGTGTAGGATATAGTAGTGTAGTGTATAGTAGGGTGTATGTACTTTGAACTTCTTTCACACCGTACCTAGCCAACCGTGCTAATCCGGGGTGTGGGTGAAGGACAACAAACTAAACACAAAAAGCAGTTCTCAAGTAATGTATTGAAAAGCAATGGACAAGGTTTAGTTAATTCATTCATACGTTCGAGTTTACAAATGATTATTCTTACAAGAAGATATATTTTTACTCTTTTGATGAATGAAAGTATAATAGTTCATGTTAACATTCTCTGTAAATCTGAAGGTGTCTTTAAATCTTCCCAACATGACGATGCCTGGCACAAATTCATAAAATTGTAATTAAAAAAAACACATACTATAATAAACATCTAATTACCAATGTGGAAAATGTCAGGTCATTATAGAAAGTTGTATAATTATACGGTCCACGGGGGCAGATGTTTTTTTATGTTGTTATGGAAGTCATTTAAATACAATCGCTTAAAACTAAACGCGATGTTATGCGACATTCCTGCACCTTTCCCTCGACGAATTGTAAAGTGCGCGCGTATAGTACACACCTAAACCTCGAATGTTGAAGCGATTTTTTTTCCTCCCCTAGTGTAATGGGTTGTTCTCGGAGTTTTGTGCGTTTCTCCCCATGAGCTGTACAAGTCATTAGTAGCAGCTATTAGCTGCAGAGACCGCCTCGTGCCAGCCGAGAGAGGGAGCAAAGGAAGTTGCCTCTGCAGCTCTTCGTTGCCACAAATTGCTCTTAATGACGT